CTGCAATTCATTTACTTCGGGTTCTCCAGATCGCGTCTGTGCTAATGCAACAGCCTGTTATCACGGCTTGCTTTCAGTCCTGTCCCCTGCCGTTCACTCTGGACTCTCCGTCTGAGTGATCTTTCAGCAAAGAGGCTTCCGTTTTCTCAGAAACAATCCTAGATTTCTCCCTTCACCCATGTCCTCTAAACTTCCACAAAACTACTTTATTCCTATGGAAGAACTTACAACATTCTGCTTCATACTACAGCTAGAGCTTAAGAGACAAGCCATTTGGTCTGTCTGCTTTATCCACACTCGTTCCCAGAGACTCAAGTCCCACAAACCCTGCTGATTGGGCAGTGGGCATGGGACCTTGGACCACTACCTCTGGTTAAAACTACTGATCAGGGCAAATAACTGTCTCAAGCTAGACCAATAAGATTTTCTACCCTAGAAATTCTGTATTGTGATCTAGACTTCAGTATGTGACCTGCAGAGGACAGGCAGTGCCATTTTGGGGCCACGTACACTTTTGAGCAGGCAGGCGGCTACTGTGTAGAGCAATGTAGAATAATACAGCTCATGTGCAGAAAGGGGTACAGAAAAGATACCAGGTAGGTGGTTGGACTTGCCAGGATTGTCAAGAGAGAAGCTGTGATTCTTTTGCCAACTTGTTAGTTCTGAGATCCTCATGAGGCCTGCCTCCATTTCCTGCCCTGGGGTTTAGGAGAACCACCAGTTTCTTATATTAATTTCCATTTTTATTTTTTTAAATTTTTTATTGTTATGTTAATCACCATACAGTACATCATTAGTTTTTGATGTAGTGTTCCATGATTCATTGTTTGTGTATAACACCCAGTGCTCCATGGAGAACATGCCCTCTTTAATACCCATCACCAGGCTAACCCATCCTCCCTCCCCACTCCCCTCTAGAACCCTCAGTTTGTTTTTCAGAGTCCATCATCTCTCATGGTTCCTCTCCCCCTCTGACTTGCCCCCCCCTTCATTCTTCCCCTCCTGCTATCTTTTTTTTTTTTAACATATATCGCATTGTTTGTTTCAGAGGTACAGATCTGTGATTCAACAGTCTTGCACAATTCACAGCGCTCACCATAGCACATACCCTCCCCAATGTCTATCACCCAGCCACCCCATCCCTCCCACCCCCCAGCACTCCAGCAACCCTCAGTTTGTTTCCTGAGATTAAGAATTCCTCATATCAGTGAGGTCATATGATACATGTCTTTCTCTGATTGACTTATTTCGCTCAGGATAACACCCTCCGGTTCCATCCACGTCATTGCAAATGGCAAGATCTCATTCCTTTTGATGGCTGCATAATATTCCATTGTATATATACATATACCACATCTTCTTTATCCATTCATCTGTCGATGGACATCTTGGCTCTTTCCACAGTTTGGCCATTGTGGACATTGCTGCTATAAACATCGGGGTGCACGTACCCCTTTGGATCCCTACATTTATATCTTTGGGGTGAATACCCAGTATCCACTTTTATTTAAATTAGCTCAAACAGGATTCCATTTCTTAGAATCAAATTAATCCTGTGACATTTACGTACAAATCCTTCTGTGTTAGGCTATAATTTCTTTGAATAAAGAAACCATACCTGTTTACCTTTGTACTTCTCACATAATATAGCAGAGTGACTTACACATAGTTGATCAATGCCTGTCTCATGAACTGAATTTAACTACAGAAGAAGTAAATGATCTTGGGCTTGAATAATTAGTAGCAATTACAAAGACAGAAGAAGTTCAAAACTTTTTAAGAGCAGAGTGTAGGGGCAGGGAAGAAATTCAGAAGGAAGCCACTTTGGGTTACTAACCTCAGCCTTTGGGCAGAATTTCTGGGGAAGTTGACCACAAACATTCACACCCACAGCAAGCACCACCTTTACATTCCTGGTCCAAACCTGGCAAGATGAGAGAGGAAGCCCAGGCAGTCCTAGCACGGCATGTTCTGATTGGCAAACAGTGACCTCAGTGCCTAAAGATCAGTAACTGATAGCCAGAACAAAATGGCAAGGCGAGCCCCAACAGGCTCAACAGCTGCAGCCCACACCCCTCAGGAGAGAGACGCCATCTGAGAACTTCATCAGGAGAGCCTGCCATATTTTATTTCTTTCTTCAAATAAATTTTCTCTTCTTCACAAAGATCTTAAAAGGCATATTTCCATAAATGACAACTTTTGCTGTCTCTATACTAAGAAGGTAGAGAAAAATTTAGTAGTGTTTCCATGCAAGTATAAGAATCTTCAAATATTTTTATTTTGAGAAGTACACAATTAATATATGGCCATTATTTTAAAAATGTTCTTTCTTACAAATATCCTTGCTGCTTCAAAGGCTTGACTCCTTTTTCAACTATTGTTGTAATTTACCCACAAGGAAAAGAGTTCTTAATGAAGTAATGGCTCAGCTGTGAAAAAGGAACCTTTAAGACCATTCCAGCAATAAGAGAAACTCACATCATGACGATTTCTTGACTACACCCTTACAACTTGACGACTAAGGAAGTAGTCCAATCAAGTATACACAATGGGATAAGACAAAGGCAGATAAAAGACAAGGCTGGATTTCCTGCTTTGATGTGAAAGTCTTCCCTTTTCACTGCCAAGCAGAGTGTGGCAGGCACAATCAACAGGGGCCAGGTGGCACGGCCATTATCAGGCCTTTGGAGCTGATGGTGAGAAACTGGCAAGCCTCAGAGAAGGACTATGTAGGACTCAAGGGATTGACGTCACTTTTGGATAACGAGTTAGCCTTAAAAATAATGATATTGCAATCACTTAACTTGAGAGCAAAAAAGAAAGTAGAATTGTTCCTGAGCGGCTCCGAGATCATATATATCACACTGATCTTCACATCACTGAAAAAGTGGCACAGGACAGTGTTTCTTAAATGGCATGAGGTATAACACACAGATTTGATTTAGCTTACTTTGCTAGGCACAAGAGGCTAAGTATAGAACAAATCCGATAAAAGCAATACATTGTGGCCATCCATTCAGTGTTGCTACTCATAACCACAGGACATTCCCATAAGGGCCCATCCTGTACATGTCCGATGACCAGCCAGCAAGTCACCAAACTGGCTTAAAAGTGTCAGAATAAACTTTTCTAGCTTGTATACCTTTATTTTCATTTTGTGTGATGCATAAACCAGACACCATCTTAAAGGGCTAAAAATATAGCTAAAACTTACTATTGCCTTTCTTTCAAAATGAATACAATTGTAAGAAGAAAAAAGATACAGCTTTTGATCAAACAGCTGGGTCCAGGAATTTCTTCAGATCAAAATGAACTGGCTATCCATGATGCTCTGTGACTACATAATCTATATTTAAGTTAAACTGGTTTCTGACACCTTCCATAAAAATATGGTACCCTTTCCTACTTACAGTCAGGTAATTTAATTTTTAACATCATAAGTAAAACCTATGAAAGATCAATACCAAAAAAGCACATCATTAAAATATACTTTCATATTTATATTTTTTTGCAAAATAATAAATTTATTACATATGATTGGCAGATAGTTGTTGCTGATATATTATTCTCTCAATGTTTGCGGAAAATTTCAAAATAAAAAATTTTATACACCATACAATACACCGCGCAATCACAGGGGTCCTTGAAGATCTCCAAACATTTTTTGAGCTGACTTTCACCTGCGAGACCTGGTCCCAGCCTTGAAGCTGCGAGAGGGTAAGTTTGCCACCCAAGGGGGCTGGAATTTTCCCAGCCGTAAGGAAGAGATTTTACTTGAGATGAGAGGCCTTCTCTAAAGGGAGTGATAAAGCCCCTGAAAGCAGAAAGGAGAGGAGACAGGGCAGAGGGGGCTGGGGCTGAATCAGAGGGTCTCCGGGGGGAGGACGAAGAGCCCTCTCTAACACCAGCATTCCTCTGTGCTCACCATCAGGGGAAGGACTGCCCTATAACAGCAGTGTGTAGCTCTGAAGAAAGAACTCTCTTCTAGCAATTTCTAGAACCTGAAGAGGGGGCCCAGCACGACCCTCGAATGGATCCTGGAGCACCCAGGATGCCAGGGAGGTACTTGCCCTTGGGCTAACGAGAAGTCCTGGCTAATGGTCCCAGGACCTGGAAGGTACCGGTAAGGTTGTTTTGCAGGGACAGCCCTTGACTAAGACAGCTGGGCCCGCACAACCACACTGGAATTGGTCACACGGGCTCCACAGTGACCAGCCCAGAACTGTGTGTCCTGGCCCCAGTGTTTGAAAGACACAAAGTGGACACCCATCTTGATGTTGGAGAACACGTGGGTGACCTGAAAGCAGACATTGTTGTTCCACTGCTGGATGGGAACGGGCATAGCACAGAATTTATCCAGGACAGTCTGGCTGGCATCAGTCAGACACAAATCTCAATCCTGCCACTATCTAGCAGCTGTGGCCACAAATCCTCCTCCCCCAGGTCCAAGACCTGCTTTTTGTCTTTTTGTGACAACAGCTGAAAGACACCAAACAGGTCTGCGAGGGGGTCCCAGGACCACTGACCAGTTTATCTCCACCACCCAGCCACTTCCACCGTCCTGCTTCATATTTATATTTTAAAGCATGAGAGACTGGAGTCCCCTGAAATGCCTGGAATTTTGCATATTTTAACACTAGCATCTGAAAGGAAGAGTCTGATTGTTTGATACAATAAATCCTTCGCAGTTCACAAGTACAAACAGGGTTCAGGACATAATGGGAAATAAGTAGAGATTCACAATGTGCTTATGTTTTAGGCCCCAAACTAAAAACAAACAAAAAAAGGTGATTTTTTTTTTTTTCTGGCAATTCAAGGAATTCTACTGGTGACCAAAGTGGTAGTTAAGAACAATTTCTGAAAACCAGGACCCAAATATGCCAAGTACCCATGTTTCAATAAAGAAATAATTATTAAAATACACAAAAGAGTTTACCAAAAGGCCACTAAAATAAGTTCTGTCTGGACTCTGTGGTTTTTCCTGCCAAAGATCACCTACCCCAGAGCAAAATTGCTGTCCTCCTTCCAGTCCACGATGCGGCAGATGAACAGTGTGTTGGTATAATCTTTAGGCCGGGTCACAAAGTCCTGGGGACAGTCCTTGAGAGGCACATAAATTCTAGGCACTCGGTGGTCCGAGGGAGAAAACAAGGCATATTTCCTAAACAGTTCACTGTTCTTATCAGCCAAAAGTTTGAGAAAGCCAGTTGCTGCCCTGGAATGTTTTTTCTCCAAGATGTAAACCACCTGAAAACACCAAAGATATAGTCAAATGTTGTTTACCTATAGGACTGGATAACAGTTAGAAGTCAGCAAGATACTATTTGGTCAACTAGCTGGGCCCAGCAGTTTTTCTAGGTCCAGAGGAAGTGCCTCTCAGTGATGCTCTATGACTAAGTAATACGTATATATATATTTTAAAAAATTTTATTTATTTGACAGAGAGAGACACAGCGTGAGAGGGAACACAAGCAGGGGGAGTGGGAGAGGGAGAAGCAGGCTTCCCGCAGAGCAGGGAGCCCGATGAGGGGCTCGATCCCAGGACCCTGGGATCATGACCTGAGCCGAAGGCAGATGCTTAACGACTGAGCCACCCAGGAGCCCCTAATGCGTATATTTTTTTAAAGATTTTATTTATTTATTTGGCAGAGAGAGAGAGACAGCACAAGCAGGGGTTGCGGCAGAGGGAGAGGGAGAAGCAGGCTCCCCGCCGAGCAGAGAGCCCAATGCCAGGTGCGATGCAGGGCTCGATCCCAGCAGCCTGGGATCATGACCTGAGCCAAAGGCAGATGCTCAACCGGCTGAGCCACCCACGTGCCCCACTAAGTAATGCATATTTAAGTTGCAACAACTCAGTATCCAGTGAGCATATCTATCTAAGGAAAACCATGCAATACAGGATTAATTAGATGAAAGTGCTTTTATAACTAAGATCTATGTCTTAAGGACATATGTAAGACTCTGGCAGGGAAGTATGGTTCCAAGTATTTGCTCTGCATTACATTTTCCTCACATGAACAACACAACAGTTGCTTTTTTAAAAATGTTATTAAATATAAGTAAGGAATTGGTCTTTATTATGCCTTTAAAAGCTGGAAACCAGGGTGCCTGGGTGACTCAGTTGGTTGGGGATCCGACTCTTGATTTCAGCTCAGGTCACGATCTCAGGGTTGAGACTGAGCCCCATGTGGGGCTCTACACTGGGTGTGGAGCCTGCCTAAGATTCTCTCCCTCCTCCCACCCCCCCACCGCCACTCACTCTCTTTCTTTCCCTCTCTAAAAACAAAAACAAAAAGGCTGGAAACCTTATCACCTTCCTTCTTTCCAACATTAAATCCACTCTCTCATTTCACTAGGCAAAGACTGAGGCCCCCACACCACTTACAAGGACGTACTACTTCCACCAAGAGAGAAGCATTCTTGAAGAAAGTGAATCCCCTCGCCCACCCTGGGAAATGTTTCTTCCTGAACTGTTTCCCTTTCCCACTGCAGACAGTCTGCACTTTGATGCCTTCACTGGAATTACTTGTCAGCATTGCACGTTGATCCCTGAGCAAACGTTCAGACTGCTGGTGAGCTGGCTGCCGCTCCTGTTCGTGTCTCTGACTCCATGTGGGGCTTCAGCCTGTCTACCGAGAACCTCCAACCAGTCAGCGTGCCTTTCCTCTGCCCCAGGGACACCTGTCCTCTCAGCAAATCTCAGGCCCATGATAGGCTCTACGTTCTCCTGACCCTTCCTTCCTCCTTGGAAAACACCATTCTGTTTTGAGCAAGCTGCTGTGCCCTCTGTCAGGAATCCTTGACCCCGTCCTCACATGTGCTTGTCTGTCCCAGGCCCTTTGGACAGAGGCTGCTCCTTCTCCACACGCAGCCCCTGAATGAGGTGTCTGTGTTTTCCTGTGCTGTCACATCCAGACCATTTACTCTTCCAGCCTCGTGCATATGTCTGCAACTGTCTATAGTTCAGGCTGTCCCCTTCTTGTTACTGTCATCCGTGGACCTCCTAGCTTACTGCAGAGGAACTAGTAACCAGTAACTGGCTTATTTCCAAGTGAATGACTCAGCCACTATCTTGCCCTTACAGTCCCTGTACCTCTTCAATGCCGGTGGCATTCCATTCCCTTTTGGCAACTCATCCTCACGGCCACCACTCAGCATCCTCAGGTCCAATCCTGATCATCTCAGACTGACCCGTCGTCCAGCTCCCTTAATCTCCTGTGCCCCCTCCATGGCTTCTTCACCACATCAAGACTACCAGCACCTTGATCCCAGCCTGCTCTCCGTGCTGCCTGCTACTTCTTAGGCCTGAATCCTTTCCTACTCCAGAGGGTCATCATGTTCCATCACTTCTAGTCCTCTCGCCTCTGTCATCAAATGCTTCACCTCTCCTGCCCTTCCACTGCACCCACCCTAAAAAATCCTCAATTCTGGGACAGTTCACCCACTGCTATTCTCCAACCTCAAACACAAGCTATGGAGTCCATCAGAAGAGAATTACAATGATGCAGATGGAAGATGGACACCATCACACATTGGTGTTAAATAATCATTGCTCTGACCTCAAAATCTCTAAGGTATTTTTAACCTGTTCCCAATCAGCACAATCTATAAGCCCCACTCTCTTGATGATCCTCTCCTTCTAGGACTCCAATTATCTGAATGCTGGATCATTTTATTGCCCCACAACCTCCTAAAGCTCTGTTCACTTTTTCTAGTCTATTTTCTCTCTGTTCAGATTGGGCAAATTCTACTGATCTGTTCTCAAGTTAACTAATTCTATGCTGAGTCACCTCTACTACTGAGCCCCTCCTGCAAGTATTTTATTTCTGTTATTGTACTTTTTTAGTTCTATAATTTCCACTTGGTTCTTTGTTTATAACTTCTATTTCTTTGCTGAGATTTTTCTATTTTCTCATTTGTTTTGAGAGAATTTTTAATTGCTTGTTGAAGCATATTTATGATGGCTGATTTAAAATAACTGTCAGGTAACTGCACCATCTTGGTGTTGGCATCAGTTAGTTGTCTCTCCTCACTCAAGTGATGATGTCCTGGTCCTTGGTATAATGAATGATTTTCTATTGTATCCTGGACCTTTTGTCTATTATGTTAGAGATTCAAGGTCTTACTAAAATCTTTTCTTTTAGGAGGCGGGTCACCCTATCTTGTTTTAGCACAGAGGTCCTGAACTACTTTTGTGGGGGCTCTAGTTCCAGTGACAATTTCACTTGGAGAGACTGTGCAGTAGTATTTTGATATTTGGTTGACATGGAACCACTGGGGCTCCAGCTGGTCTCTGCCGGTACTGCCTGAGGGGGTGAAAAGAACTTTCTCAAGGCTGGCCAGCTGGTCTCTCTAGTATGGATTAGAAACAGATCCATGTCCATGCAAGGACAAAGAAACTTCCCATTTAAGGTTTTCAGTTGTGGTAGGACTCCGGTGCTACCTGACTGCCCAGTGTCTCTGGGTGGGAAAGCAGTGTCTCAGACCCACGAGGAAAAAGGTTTCCTGGATCACATACCTGCTGTGGCAGGATCCTCCTTACTGGCATTCCCCAGTCATCTACTACCTCTGGGGGAGTAGAGAGGAGTCCCTAACTCACTTGCCTTCCTCTCTTCACCCTCCAGAATTCTCTTATGGTTGCTTCCTGTTATTTTCCAGGGTTTATAGTTGTACTAGTAGGAAAGAGCAAGGAGGAATGAGTCTATGCCATCTTGTCTGAACTAGAAGTCCTTGCTTCTTGCTTTAACATCTGACAGCATGAGAAGTGTATGAAGCAGCTTGACATTACCTGTGATTCATACATTAGTTGTAGTAGAAATGACTTGATCACAGCGTAAGTTTTGCATACAAGTGCTGCTTTGCCTTGTGATTTTAGATTGAATTCACTAAGAAACTACCCAAAAACCCCAAACAAACCCAGCAAGAGAGAGGGTACCATTGCGGGGGCAGTAGCAAACTGCAGAACACAAGTTCCACCTACAGAGGGTTGCCTGTACTCAGCTCTGACTCAAGTCATTTAAGAATGTGGCCCAGTGTTGCCATATGTTTTGTTTAGTCAAGAGAAGCCAGAAGTCTCTCTCTCTCTTTTTTTTTTAATAAGCTACTTAGTCAAAACTTTTAAATGCTGCACAGGTCACACAAAACACCAGTTTGTAAGCCAGATCTAGCCCCCAGGCTTTCCATTCATTACAATCTCCTAGCATGCTGCCTGGTATATGGGCATACGGTTAGTATTCAAAATGCTTATTAAAATAACTGGATAGGCAGTTGAGGGTAACATGTATGTAATATAATTTAGAAATTCCTCGTGTCAATATGCAGGAGGTACTGTCCTAACCCACTTGCTAGATTGAGGCGGCAACCCTACCACCTCATGCTGAGCATGCTGAAGGATGCCTCTGGGAGAGCAAGCTTCATACTTATTACTGCCTATTGAACCACTTCTTCTACCAGGAGCTACCTGCATAGCAGGGTCAGCCGCGTTTGATCCCATATCTGAATATGCCACTAGTATATGTAATTGAAAAATAAAATTGAAATATGCAAACTAACAGACAGGATGCAAAAGCAATTTTTTGTGTCTACAATAACCAAATACTTGGGGAAAACTAAAAAAGACATTAAAAACTTACTTTTGAATTAGATATGGACGTGACAACAATAAAAAAAGTTGAAGCAAAAAACTAAGAATCTAGAAGGAGTCTGCATTAGTGTTGCTTCACGTGGTGCCTAAATTCTCACTCCACTTTACATAACCCAAACTGGAAATCAAGGATGTCACATTACGAGTGTGGTTTAAGCAGAAAAAGATAATGCAGAACTTCAATAAACATACCCACACACAAAGAAAAGGCTGCGGGCCTTCATCCAAACACAGGCAAATCAACATATATGTATGTCTTTAAACTTATACAAATTATTAGCTTTTTATGACTCCTTGCTTCCACTGACTTTTCTGATTAACTGACCAACTACAGTCCTAACTGAACTGCATGAGATACCCCTGACAGGTGGCTCAGGTGACAGTCATTTGGACATGTGTAAAGTGGGCAATGTGGGCAATGACCTTTGCTGATCTTTGCAGCGATTTCTCTGGTAAAGCTCTTGAGTCCTGTGACATGGAGGTGCTCTCATCCTTTGTAACTGGAGCATCAGCATCCTCTTTTCCTAAAATAAGAAGAGAAGAAAAAGAGAGGAGGAATCAGGTGCATATCTACTAGGCATATAGGCTCATAGGATTTTTTTTTTTTTAAGATTTAATTTTTTTTTAGAAAGAGAGAGAGCACACCCGTGCGAGTGTGTGAGCTTGAGTGGGGGGAGGGGCAGAGGGAAAGAATCTTCAAGCAGACTCCCCGCTGAGCAGGGACCCAACACGGGTCTCTGTCTCCCTACCCAAGAGATCCTAACCTGAGCCAAAACCAAGAGTCAGACTGAGCCACCCAGGCTCCCGGTGGGATTTTTAAGTTCAGAGCACCATTTACCCTAAACTACACACTTTACAGAAAAGGAAACCCAGGCCCACAGTAGTTAAGAGACTTAGCTAAGGTCAATCACATCACCAACTTCCATTAATGCTCATGTTCAGCAGGCCACATTTGATCTATTTAATGTTACTCAAATGTTAAGTGTCATACAAGTGGAGAGCATCAAACTGCTGAACTGAGCTCAATGAGCTAGGTGTCAAAATGCCAAACATACTAGATGTGAAATATTGCCCCAGCCCACAGCGAAGAACAGAGATAGGTTAATTTATTATGCACATCTGCTGAAATCAAAATAAATGTTAACTTTTAAAGGTACTTTGGTACCAGCCATAACAAACAAAATGGTGGAAAATAGATTATATTTATTAAATAAATAAATAAAAAAGCCAACCCCGATTTTCCTGGCTTTTCTCAGTGACATTATATAAAGAGTATTTAAAGTCTTTAAATGTTTAATTTCCTTTCTTAAGAAACTTATAAAATGGACATTCACCCAAGAAACTGAAACCACATCTCCCCAATAAAGAGGGAGTTAGGCTCTGTACCAGAAGTATTAAAACGACTCATGAACAAATGCAGCAAATTATACACTTCTGAACATTTAATATTTTCTATTTTCATGTGTTACTTTAGAGTTCTCCCACAGAATATTCTTATCCAACTATACTGGAGTTTCTGGATTCTAGGGGTCACAACAAATTCATGTGGGCCCCACTCCAGATAGCTAAGAGAGACTTGTACTTATCATCATTTAGACATTACCAAGGCCAAAATAAATAAAAAAAAATCCTTTTCAGCCTCTTAGCAAAAGCTTAGCTTAAGGCCAAGTTTTACCATTCTGGGCGTACTCTGGAAACACTGACATGATCTGACCTACTGGGGCTTAAGAATGATCAACTGTTTGCTTTTCCATCTAGGCTGAAATATGCCTAACATAGTGCCCACTGAAAGGAGAATTCTCACTGTTTTCCAAAAACAAAAAAACAAATGAAAACTTTCCCATTGTTGATCACCCTGTCCCTCAGTAAAAGAAGATATCCATCTTTTATTTTAGACCATAGTTCAGGATTCCAAGATCATTAGATGCTTCCAGAACATCTTTTATACTCTGGGGGAGAAAAAAAAAAACCACACAAGTTGTTGATCTGCTCCATAACATATCTTGCCAATGCGTTCTGCAGAACAAGTTCATTCAGAAAAGATTAGGAGGCTGGAAATACCACGAACCAGTACACTCTAGCTAGATATCTGCTAGCTGAACTTTCAGTCTCGAGAGCTGGCAATCAAGGGGGTTTTCTAAGGCAGCCCAAATCCCGGGCATGTAACCTTCTATCACAGTCACTGATGGTTCCAACTTAAAATGACTATTGCTTTAGATCCCATCCCAACAACAAGCAAGTCTTCTGTTCCGAAGGTTATGCCAGGTTGCATCAGTTGCATCAAAGAAAGAAGGCTAGCCATGGAAGCGAGCCCAATTGTGATTTTCAGATATCACACCTGCACATGACCTTTTCAAGTTCTGTGTCCACAAGGATATCCTGACAGAAACAAAGCTTTGTTCAAAGATGCATTCCAATAAATTAAACTGAAGCTTTTAGCCCTGCAGGTGAGTATCATAGATACATTCAATGAAGGTGAAGAAATGCAATGCCAGGTTAGAAAGGTGAATCACCTTCATAGGTTTCCAACAACTACGTCTTGCTACACTAATAGCAAAGTTGTCAGTTTGATGAGAGATCTACCACACTGTTTAATCATGAGATTCTTCATTTATTCATTTATTCCGTGTGTATTTATTGAGCAATGGGCACTAAGGATTCAGTGAATAAAAGAAATATGGTTCCATCCCTTACACAACATATACTTTAATGTGCAAGTGATATTCAATAAACCACCACTCAATAAACATAAAGTTATAAATTGTGATGAAGGCTAAGGAGGAAAGAACAGTTCTAAGGAGGAAGAGTTTTCTCAATATACAATTTAGAATAAGAGGTCAGGAAAAGAGGCCCTGCAGGGAAGTGCCATTTAAGCTGACGCCCAAGGATGGTGTGTTCAGGAGTGAAGAAGGGGACAGAAGACCCCAGGTGGGAAATGGCACTTGGGAAGGGGCAGAGGTGAGAGGTTCTTGGCACAAACGTGGGAAAGAAAGAAACCATGCAGCCAGAGCATAGTGAGCATAAGAACAGGCACGACAAGGGATAAGGATGAGAGGTAATAGGAGTCAAGTCAGCTGGGGTCTTCTAGGATTTACGCATCCTAAACTGAAACCTAAATACAAGGGGAAGCTGGCTAAGGATTTTGTGCATGAAAGTGACACTGCCCGAGGAGAGGTTCAAACAGGTGAAGAGCGGAGGGAGGGAGGCCAGCGAGGAGCTACCGCAGCAGTCCAGACATGCGAGGATCATGCTATGATGCAGGCCCTGCAGATGGAATGAAAAGGATTAACCTAAGACATATCGTGGAGTTGAGCTAATAGATTTTGGTGGTGATCAGATAGGAGAGCTTATGGATCATGAGCTATGAGAAGGGAAGGGTGATTTCCAGCTTTCTGACATCTGCAGCTAGGTCGATAGAGGCATCTTTATTGGCTCAAAAAAGACTAGAGGAGGAGGTGAAAACCACGAGTTCTACTTCAGAGGTGTTTCTATTTGATGCTCTTGAGTAAGCAATTCAATAGAAAGGTCTGGAACTCAAAAAGAGAGGTCTGGGCTGTGGCTTTAAACACAGTCTTATGTTGAGTCCTTCCATATTTATGGGGAGAAGAGATTCAAACCCAAGTGTGTTCCACTACTAAGTCCAGAAAGCTCTTCCACTGCTACGTGGCTCCAGGAATTAGTGTTATGTTGTCACTGTTAGGAAGATAAGAAAACTGCACTGTGGGAGTGACCTGGGCTTGAAGGACGTATAGATGCGAGAGAAATGAGAAAGTGAAAGGGCACTGCAGGTAAAGGCCCCGAGTTGTGAAAGGGCCTGACGTGGTAAAGGACTCGCAAGAGGTTTACTGCAGCCACTAACGGGCTGAGGATAAAGGGCTGGGTAAGAAGGGTCTAGGGTGGGGAGACGAACAAGGCTGGTGGAAAGGTCCTGCGGCAGACATTCTAGTGACTGCCCAAGATCTAGTCTCTTCTTTCCTGGCAACAAGAACTCCCAATTCTTAGCTGGGTAAACTATTTAAAAGACTACATTTTTCAGCTTTCTTGCAACTACGGATAGCCTATATGTCTAAGTTTTAGCCAATAAAATGCAGGTTAAAGTATTGTAAGTGACTTCCAGGAAGTGTCCTTACAAGATGGAGGCCCAGCCTTCCCTCTTTCTTCCTTCTTGCTGGTTGGAATGTTGATGTGACAGCTGGACCTCAAGCACTCATCTTGGTCCCAGAGGCCACAGGACAAGGGTGTTTTCTATGCTGCAGAGCAGCACAACAGAATGAGCTTAAGACTGTGGAACTACTCTCTGAGCCCTGGCCTGCCTTACCTCTGGTCTTCTTTTTATGTAAGATAGAAATAGATTTCTTTCTTATTTACGCCACTGATATTTTAGGATTTAACTCCATTCTCTCTCTCTCTCTCTCTTTTTTTTTAAGAGATAAGGAACATTTTTTATTTTATTTATTTACTGGACAGAGAGAGAGAGCCAGAGAGGGAACACAAGCAGAGGGAGTGGGAGAGAGAGAGACAGAAAGAGAAGCAAGCCTCCCGCTGAGCAGGGAACCCAATGCGGGGCTTGATCCCAGGACCCCAGGATCGCAACTTGAGCCAAAGGCAGATGCTTAACGACTGAGCCAACCAGGCGTCCAGGATTTAACTCCATTCTCAACAGAACATACTTTCTAACATATGGTCCAGACCATGAAACTGACAAGCCTGGACACCATCCTATAAGGCATTTTAATGGTAAGGAACACATAGCTCTCAGGACTATGAATTTGGAAGCAACATTGAATGGAAAGACAATAGTAGCAAAGATCTTAGAAAGTTGGGAGCTGGGATTGCAGTCTAGATGAGACACAATCAGAATCTGAATTAGATAGTGGCAGTGAGAGCAAAGAGAGGCAAAATTGGAGAGATGTGTCTGAGAAGGATGATGCTAAGTGTATTTCTATCACTATGGATAATCTGATATATGAAAAATGCACTTAAAGGAGCTTTTGATTGAATATCAGGAAAAATGGCTTGACAGAGCAATAAAACTCCATGGTGAAATTACTAGAACAGGGCAGGCTGGGAGTCCTCATAAGGGTAGAGGGTATGCGTCCCCACGGCCTTCGGTTTTGCCATACTGAAGGCAGAGGTGGCCCGTGCACTCTGTGGTCCCTTCTAGTTCAAAAGATTCTAGAAACTGGTGACTACCAAAGTTCTTCATCTAAAAGAGAGAATTTTCTAAGAAACAGATACACTACTAATATAAGCAACTATTCATTATATCCCCCAGTACATACTCTAGGAAGAAAAGTCGAGTGGAATCCTAATCTCTTTCTACAGATTGTCTAAACACTTAAAAAGTAAAATGCCATGGTTTGGTAGGGTTGGTATGGCCACTTACATCTATCAAGTGCAAACTCAACACCTGATTTTGGTAAGAAAAATGATTCTGGGGACGCCTGGATGGCTCAGTCGGTGAAGCATCTGACTTCAGCTCAGGTTATGATCTCAGGGTCCTGGGATAGAGCCCTGTGTGGAG